ATTCAAAGAACCTATTGCAATAAAACGGCAATTTCATACTTTAACCCATCTTTAACCCCTAATATTAAGCCAATCCGATTTTTTTTATAATACTAAGTGACGGGACCATAATATTATATATCTATGGATGGGACAAACAGGTGGTGCGCCTGGTGTTAAGCGACACGCCTCCATAATCAGTTGTAGCACCACTAAGAGCTTTAAATCAGAAAGATCTGAGGGACACTGCCACTGCGTACATAAGTTGATAAGTCCCATTTGCCTATAATTTCCCCAGCATCCTTACACTTCGAAATCGGAACGCAGTAATGCTCACATTGCTCCTTGCCGGTAGAAATAGGTGACGTGGCAGTATTTCCCTGGACAGACTCTTACACAAGGAGTTCTACTGCTACTAATATATGCTATATATATGCTATCTATTCGAATCAAAATCAATTCGAACAGACAGACAAAAAATTCTAAAATTTTGTATGCAACTAGTAGTGGCTATCTCCAAAGGAGATCAAACAATCGAGAGAAAACTTATGTTAAGTACTCCTCCGGAAGTAAACGAAGAGGCTGGCGGATATAAATGCTGACCATAGAATATTAGAAGCGGTCTGATCCGTTGTGAAAAAAAGGGTTGGAAGAAGCAAAGATCGCTATGTTTTCGACTTACAGATCTTGTCGGGTGACTCAGGAGGAACGCTTGCCGGTTGAGGAATGGGCGGAGGATCGTGATTTCTTGATTGCGATAGTGGCGTATGATCTCTCTCTCATTGCTGGCTGTTATTACGGCGTTGGTTGGCAGAAAGAGATCGTGGATACGATGTTCTTTTCTACAGCACAGTGATGACACAAAGGAGATGGCGGAACGGGTAAGCGGGTAAGCTCTTATCCGACACGTCGTATGAGGACCGGGCAAGCGGCAGACGCGTGCATGCACAACGAGGACCGCCGAGTATCGTATGAGAAGGCACTGCTAGAATGGAGACAGGTATTCGAGTCTGGATCTTTCTTGGATGACGTGCATTGCACTTTGGCACACACATAATCAGCATAAGGAGTAGGGGAGAGTTTCGTTGGTCTCCCATGTCTGAGACGACTGTCCGTTCCTGCATTCCCTCTAAAAAGCAATAAGGCGAAACAACGTCAGGTTTTAGTGCGAGTCTGACAGAACCCTTTATCATCAAGAGTATCCAAGAGGATTATCTGATGTTAAAGTAAAGGCTAGAGTAAACGACTGCAAAAAAATGCACGATGACCTCCCAGGTGACAATGAAGAGCAGAAATGATCACTGGGATAAGGAGACATGATTATGATATTATTATAAGTCAAGAAATTGCGACATGGAAATAGCCCCAAGCAAGTATGCTAATATCTTTCAAGACTCGGTCCATACGGCCTATCTTGATAATACAAACAGTTTGGTTAATAGAGTCATTGTACTGCGAAGCGTATGTCAAAACATTACGCCAACTTTCGGTAATTCATGAACATTTGGACTTATATGACAGCTCAATGATAATAGAAATTAATAAAAGAGGCAGGTAGTCTGTCAAGTCGACATAAAATTTTAGCTTCATGTTAAATTCTCACATTCTGACTGAAGTAGGGTCTACAAAAGATATTAGGGTTCTAGCCTTGTGGTAGGGAGTGTTATACTCGAGGTGTTCGTTGTGTTTTTACTTAATCCGTCCATTTGTTCTTTTTAACTGTATGTAACACCAAAAAACGATAGAGTAATAGCGATATAAATGATAACTGTTTTTGTACTGTAACGACCGAAAATCCGACATTTTTACTATTGAAATATAGCAGACGTCATAACATTTGTTGGTTGAATGTAATATTTTAATGGCAGATTTTCAAACCAATTACTGTAAAAAGGCGTGCAAAGATTAATTTGCAATGCATTAAATCCGATCTTTCGCAATATTTTTCTATTTGCTTTCCACAGAGAGGCACCTTTATAGTATTTTATTATGTATTCATGTTGGCTGCGATTTGGGCATGCGGAATTTGTTTGTTGTTGCGTCAAGGTATCTTTTGTGAGTGGTTTGTACTCCTTTTTCTGCATTGCCAACTAATAATATCGTTTTCTTTCCCTTTTTGTAGTCTTATTGTCCGACTTTCCTTCTCAGTTTCTCAGAGTCTTGGTGCATCACTGCACGTATGTTTTCTTTATCCTGATATCAGCAAATAAATATGTTTGATACGAAAAGCAATTTGTCTAGAACCTTTCAATGGATGCGAAAACACGTGAAACATGCAACTTTTTTATTATATATTAATCACGCAGGGCCACAGGTTTACCAATTTTCGGGATATGCTATACTACACTCACGAAATTCGAAGTTAACAAGATCGTTCAATTGTTTGTTGCGAGTCCTGACTTGAGATAAATTCCCAGATATACACACGACCAACAATGAAATATGATCACGTTTAAAAAGAAAATTAGAATTTGTAAGAATAGTACGATTAAGTGAAGTAAGTATTTATGGTTACAGAGAGAAAAAATAACACCGACATTCATTCAGAATATGTATATATTTAAATTAATGACTCTTTAAATTTGAAATTGTAGAGAATAGTTGAAATCAAGTCAAGAATAAAAAAATATGTTTTAGTGTAGGTGCGTGTAAATAAAACATGAGCGGTGGCGTGAAGTCTGACTGTCTCGGCGTTGAGATACAGCGTTTAGTGTGTTTGTCGCTCGATAAGACTCCTAGTGAGGATCCAGCGGAGTTGGTGTGAGCGGAAGAAAGCGGCCGGGCCGCGGTCGATAGGCAATCGAGCGCAGGCGCTCTCGTAACCGGAGCGACTGGGAGAAAACGCCAGTCCGCCGGCAGGTTGATACGCGGCTGCCGGCAGCCAGCGTCCGCCCGGGCGCAAGTGGACGCTCAAACCATGCAGACGAGCCGTCCCCGCGGCGTGCACAGCATCGCTCTCGTGCTGGCTCTCGCGATCGCTTGGATGCCGCACGCCGACCACGCCGCGTGAGTATCGTCCCAAGTTATGCTGGTCACTGTCCTTCTTTACAGATGTGTGGCGAGAGAACATGCGTCACTCTGACTTCTTGTGCACCTCACGTAATCGTGAAGCCCTATCGTACACATGTAAATCTTTCAAAGCATTGCCATTCGCATTAACTATTAAAATCACATCTCATTTGTTTATAATATTATTAACATGAGGCCTTATGTTAGTAGATCCGTATTAAACAATGCTAATAAAGTTTCAATTGAAATGTATGCCAAGTCAACTGATTTTAATTTAACCTGTTTAGTACTGTTTAATGCCCAATTATAACACTTTTAATTTCGAAGTTAGCAAAAGTGTCTAAGAATATGTACACGTTTTTAAGTGCGTGCACCAATTACATATTCGGGTGTACTTATGTACATATATCCCCATACTTAATCATACACGAGCGAAATTAGATGCAATAATATTTTATAAGTTGTTTGGGAATAATTTCGAAGTACGTTTTATTGGTCTGTTACCCTGGATAGTTAATGTTATGATTAACGATTAAGGAATAAAGACAGTCTTGTATGTCGCTTTACGAGTTATATGGTGATTTCCAGTATCACGTCAAACTGCGATGTTTCCCGAAAGATGAAAAACTCAATTATGTATGCGCGATTGACGCAGTACATGCATGTCTTCGTGTAAACGAACACATAAAATTAAACATTAAGTTCCGCGTAAATCAAATTGCAACCGCTTTCAAATTTAATTACAATTTAAATAACACGGTACTACACAATAATTTTATAAACAATATAAAAAAGTTCCATCAATTTGGAACATTTTTACCTTCGTCTATCTTTGCTTTTACTTTAATAAAACTGTAAGGGTAATCAAATTGTTTATAGATATTTTATTTCTAATTTGAAAGAAAATTGTAAATTCAAAGTTGTCAATGTACTTGAGTAAAGTAGAACAATAAATAGTCGAGTGGAAAAAATTAAAAAAATTAAACAATTCTACGAGTATATCTATTTATCGTACTTTCAACGTTCAGCGTTGTATTAATAATATAAAATAAAATAATACAAAAGGACAAAATAAATACTAGTACTGCGTAACTTAAACTATTGTATAACTTGTAGTTTATGGCTCATTATATGCCAGAGTGGTGTGGAGAATAGTATATATTTTTCTTTATTTTGACTTTTTGAACTACAGGTCTTTTGCGCACATCTTAAGTAGATAGAGAACCTCAAGAAGCAGGTTAAACCATGTGTTTATTATGTAATATATAAGCTGAATTCTTTAGACACACGATCAACCTAATGGCAAAAAATTCACACTACAATTTTCTAAAATCATTTTCGGAGTAATTCGGGTGTACGGAAACCAGCGAATACAATTACTCTAGGGAAAGTTTTTAATCCAGTAAAAGCTTATTTTAATGGTTAAGGTAGATTTAACTGGACTCGTTGGGTACGATTACGACGTTCTGCTACCGACATGTTAACATTCAAGAGCATATTAACCTTGACTCTTTGGAATGGACCTTTCTTATCGCATGCGGTAGATACAGACTTGAATTCAAATCTAAGAGCGGTTACATATGGCGACTTTTAGCAGCGATGCAGTCGCTAATCGTCTACCTTTAAACTCGCGATTTTAACAGCGATGCAAGCGAGCGACTGTATCGGTACAAACGCGCGATTGCATCGCTACACTTGAGATTTACATCGCGCGCTTGTATCGCTGTAGTCGCGCCTTTGCATTGATGCAATTGCCTATAAATCACAAGTGTAGCAATAGAATCGCGCGTTTGCATCGCTGCTAAAACTCTTAATTGCCAGATGACGTGCTTTTGATTCTGTACTCGTTTTCTTGATAAACATCCGATAATTCGTAATGTAGATTTATTATCACTGCGTGACCATAGTCATATTTATAAACTGAATATTTAATTGCAATAGCGAATTGGCGAAGGAGAACATTACAACACTAATAAGGAATTGTCAACTTCTGTAAAACTCGCTTAGCTGCGTAGGTTGAATCTTGGAAAATAAATAATAATGTACCCACGTTTTGAAATTCATCCGTTCATATACGACTTTTAAATAGTATCGCATAGAAAAATGCACTACTTTTTAACCACTAAATATAGCAAATTAAATATTTAGGTAGTATTTACGGGCAATAATAAATTATGCTACAAAACAGTACAGTGTACTAAAAAACCGACCTCAAAAGTCATTCATCCCCTAATTTGCCTCCCTTAGAGGTGGAATATTTTCTTCAAATTTAAATGGGACCACATCTGAGATACCTTCTTTCCAACAAAAAAAAAAGAATCATCAAAATTGGTTCACAAATGGCCGGAGTTATCGCGTGACATACATATAAAAAAAACATACATTCGAATTGAGAAATTCCTCTTTTTTGAAGTTAAAACTAATACATTAAATAAAAAAATAAAATAAAATTCTTTATTGAATAACACATATACTTACTTGAACTAGGAGAACCCTGTAAAAAGTGCTAATTATACAGGTGACTATATGATTATATTATAAACAAAAAAATAATAATTAAACAAATAAATGCAAATCATATACCTATACGCTTAAATTAGACAACATTTATTTTGGGATGATTAATAAATTCTCTGTATCATCCTATTACATATTTTGAAGGAATTCTTGGAGAATTTTCTTAACCTTTTTGCATTGACTTACAATTATATGGACGTTGGGTCCGCGCTAAAAAGTGTCCGAACTTACAGGGCGTTAAAATCGTATACAGAGCGTCATTCACGCTTTAGTCTTCGTTTGTTTTACTGACAGCGAAGCAAGCAAAATTAGACAGTACTGCGATGACATTACAATTTAAATTCACTTTTTAGCCTTTTCATATTCCTTTACATGTCACTACGTTTAAATAGGTTGACTTGGGACATTTTTTTCGTGGTTTTTGTATTAGACCCGTCGTCCATTATATATTTCTAAGTTAATGCCTTTTTGTAACAAAAATGATATATGGCCAGTTTGGCGTTTAATTTATTGTACAAAAATGACCCAAGTATAACAAAAAATCTGGAAATAAACACATGTTTTGATGATACAATTTTGGGGCAGACAATATCTTTCCGTCTTTTGTTACTGTTTTCAGTACTATGTGGGAGTGCAAAGTGCTGTTTGAGAACCGTGGACTTAATAAATAATTGCCTTACAGTTAGTACCTTACACGACTTATACAGAATGTCGATGGGGTAAAGGACAGGGCGGAAGGTAGAGACCTTTAGAACCACTCGCTGGGCTCTCTCAACGATTAGTAATGAAGTTTTAGTAATACCACCCCAAGATGTAATGCAATATGTAATAATTGATTGACATAATATGGCACAATAAACTTGCCTGATTATTTTAAAATCAGCAAAAGCGCATAGTTTTTTAAACACATACATTAGCTTACGGATTCAACCGCTTAGTGTTTCGATAAGGTGCTTAAAAGAGAGGTTATGATCTATTATAACACCTAAATACTTTACCTTGTTAGTAATAGCAATGTCTGGACACTTGCACAGGTTGTTAGTAGTCTCCTTACAATCGTGAGCATAAAGTTGTGTGTTAGTTATAGTAGACTTTGGTTTTCGCATATCGAACTGCATGAAACTAGTTTTATCCGTGTTTAGTGTTAATAAATGTTGCTGGAGCCAGTTACTTACGACATTGAATACTCGCTGAGCATACTGATAGACTTCCTTATCAGAGTTAGCAGAAAAAAGCAGAACAGTTTCATCAGCATAGGATATGATCTTCCCACCATCTAATTTTAGATTACAAAGGTCATTCATGTAGATCAGAAACACAATGGGGCCTAAAATATTTCCTTGGGGAATTTAAAATGCAGTACTCTTGAGATCAGAACTGATAACGTCACCTATTTGACACATTGGGAGTGGTTCTCCAGATAATCTGCAAGTAATTTTAGCTGTATACCTCTTATACCTAGCGATTCAAGCTTCTGTAATAGGATGGGTATATAAACTGTATCAAAAGCTTTCGCGAGGTCCAGAAATATCACCACTGTTTTGTTACCCTTATCAAGTTCCCTTGCCAAAAAACCACTCGACTATGTCATTGAATAACATTTTAATTTACTAGATCGTTAATACTTCTAAGTTTCCTATGTGTTTGCATAGAGTATACATAGCTTTAAAAATCTCTCCCGAAGCGGTGCTTATTCAAAATGTCAGAGACAAAATCTCTTTCATTATTTTGTTCTTTCTTTTTATGTATAGAGTTTCTCTCAGTAATTTTACTCTGTTATGCAAAAATGCATCAGAATATTCTTCAATTAAGCAAAAGCAACAAAATTATAATAGTGCCCAGTATGATTTGCTCTACCACCTACTTATAAATTATAAATAGATATTTCCAGAGTTGCTCGAAAACATGATACTATTTGGCAACCTTTCAGAAATAAGTACATGTTCGACGTAGACTTTACATTAAAGGCTTTTGCAAAGGTCAACTATTATCAGTTCCGTTGACTTCTTCTTTTCTGTAATACTTATAAAAAGATATATGTATGTACCTACTACCCACCTATAAATCTTTTTAGTAAATTTATGTATTAGTGTACGCAAATGATACATCGACTGTGTAAATTTCTTCATTTTGTAAAGTTGTCAAAATTGAGATAGTACCGGTTGCCAGTTCACAGTAGATATTGCATTGCATTTGAATGCAACAAAATGAAAAAAAAAAAAATAATAATACAAAATTTATAAGTTACAAAAAATTTGGTACGTAAGTTAAAGCCTTTCTTAATTTAATTGTTTTTCTTATTTTGTACTTATACGTCTTATATAAAGTAAATAAATAAGTAAATTACATCGAATTGTGACTGTTGGGTAAAATTATTATCCTTTATGAAATAATTACATGATGTCAGTACAGAGTACTAAAAAACGCCTCAAAAGATCCTGGAATTATATCTACGAGTATTTGCCAAGTTTTATTGAAAA